GTGGTAAAAGTATACAATATCATCGAAACTTGTCTGACAGTCTGAGATGTACATACTATATTGCAAACGATTCTTGGAAATTATTATGAAATATTTGGCGTATAAACCTTTCCAGCTCGATGATTTTTGAAATGTACGACTGACGATATAAAATAAATAATGTAATTTACTTACTAAATCGTCTATGGAGAAAACTTTTATTTGTAATTTACTATCAATCTTATGTTTACCTACTATAGATTTAAAAATATCATTAAATGATAGGTTAACCTATACCTACGTCATAAATTATTTAAGCTGTAACTATAATATTAGTAAYAAATGAGAAAGTAGAAAACAATTTTGATTATTCAATCTTTAATGTTTTAGTACTAATAAKAACTAAAAGTTCTTTTAAATATATTCACATGCATGCACTTGATTTTTACGGGTTTARGCTACATAACTTCATGATGATTGTACAGAAATATTTTGTGCATGTAATATGTATACAATACATTTTAATTTTATCCTTATGTATCCTTATGTATCCTTTTTGTAAGCTGTGAAAAATCATTGAATTTATAATCAAATATTGCTTATGGCAATCAATTTAAATAAATAAATATTGGACTTTGCTATTGATGTATTTTTTTTTAAATCAAGAAAGAAAGAGTAATAATAATTTATTTTCAATCATCTAAAGAATACAATATTTTTAAGTTTCCAAAATGGTTTTTCTGAAAGCGATAATTAAATATATTATGTTCTATGCATATAACTAAATAAATTCCATGATGAATACTAAATAATAAATGGTACATTAAATTAACGTTTACAATTTATTTGAACATTTTGAACTAATATCAAAATAAATGAATACACATATTTACACATTTCAACGAGTGTAMAATTTAAATCTTATAAAAATATTTTTCAGCTATCACAAATATATTTTACTATTGAGTTTATTCACTTCATTATTATTAGTKAATATATTTTTTAGTCTTCCAATACAAATTTGAAAGTCATATTAAGGTAACTTGTAATTTAACGATTCGTTTAATAATAATATGTTAATKACGTAAATATTACGATACCTAGGTATATAATATATTATTGACAACAGAACAATGTACTTTATCAAAATGTATCAATTTAACAACCAAAACAAATTATCATGGAATACCTTTAATATTATAATACATCCTAAAAGAAAATTGATAMATTTTTCAATACATGCTAATTTTTTAAATTTTAATGACTAAACTTGTCTCAAAATGATATGGTTATTTTGTTGATGAATATGATTATATTATTATACCTGATAGATCTTTTACACGATATTATCAATGGTTTATTTATTTGATGATAAGAAGAATAAAATATGACAACTTACCGCACTCGTAGCGTACCGCATGACTGAGTGTTGTCTGGTGCGCCTTGTGACGTTCATGAACCAATAACAAAACAGAATCAACTTTGASGTAAACTTTAACAACACTGCGTTATCAAGTAAATAATTAGCCACCAATAAGGCTGTTTATATACGACGAGAGCGGTGGTAAAGGTGATACAAGTCCTTTATGCATGACGTGGAAATAATAATACGACGATTGGAAGATTCCTACTATCAATATTACTATACGTAATGTAAGAAAATAACGATTAAGGTTGGTGARAAAATTAAATTAAATAAAATAAAAATAGATTTATAATTGGAAACGACGTTAGAGATAGACTCGACCAAATAATTATAACGACAACGAGCGTTTAAGTATAGTCGAGATGACGAACGAGTAAAATATAATCGAACGCTGTTGTGGCGGCGGCGGCGACGGAAGAAAAAATAATAGACGCGGTGGCTGCAGTGGTGGCGTCGGAACTGTCCAACAAAGCAGTCCGTACGCCGTCAGAACGTTAGGTAGGTAGGTAGGTTGATAGGTAGGTAGGTAGGTGGGTAGGTAGGTAGGTATTTGACTATTTTTATGGAACGGGGCGGCAAAACGGACAAATCGGCAAACGCAAACGGTGGTTTCGCGGTGAGAGGGAGACGATCRATCATTATAATTTATAATAATATTTTACAATAATATATTATTATGTATCGACATATCGTGCGTCATAAACCACACCGAAAATATATAAAAATTAATATTACAAATTATAGCATATCGTATATTATTGCCCATGATTATACGATAATCGCGCTTTAAGACCAACACATCCAAKTCACGGTTTCTGCAGACTGAGCGAAAAACTATAAATTATAAAAATATTGCATTACGCCTGCAATGACGTGCACCTTATTTAAATGTTATTATTACAGTATTATATATGTTTATATAGGGTTTTTTTACTTTTTACTTTTTTTTAGGGGTGGGGGAGCAACGGTTAAAAGGAAGTTGGAAATGATTTACATTCAAGCATGCTCCAATTTTCCTTAAACAATGAATTAATTCAAATTCTGAGTATGAAGAACTTTTAAGTAGGTCTGTACGATACATTTTAAATTATTTAGATAGTTTTACTTGGGATGTCCTGTGGCATTGAATTTTTTTAATTTTTAACTTGAATCACTATTTTCCCCATATGAATCGATAATAATATGTCATTTTCGTAAATTTTGACGTATTTAAATCAAATAACAAAACCAAATAATACATAAATATTTTATCTGTTTATATATATTTCAACTATCAACAACAACTATAGTCTATCTTTTAATTATAATTTAGATACATAAACATTTACAAAAAAAAATCTTCTGCAAGATACTGTAAAAATAAGTTTATATTGGTACTGGACTTAAATAGTAAAACAGGATCCTTACTATCCTTAAAAATGTACCTACTTGTTCACTATTAATAACAAATAATACAATTAATGACCGACAATTAACATTGAATCCTTTTTCATAGTTATCTTTAAGACGCAAATTATTGGTATAAGCTATAACCTATATAGCCTTAAAATTAAATCTCCAATTCTCAATTTAATTACCTGAAATATGCATGGTAGGGATATTGGTMACCTGCAAGCCGCACATCAATCATAGTCCAAAAACGTAAGGGATTCCTAGTGTTAAGGTATTTTTAAAAACCAAATCTCATATTACTGTCCAATTTTGTAAGAATTTATACCTAAAATGAATAATTAATGCGTTTAAAATCACGATGTACATAATATTTTATAACTAAAATATATAGTAATTTTCTGACTTTCTGATTTCAAACAATATATTTCATAGAAAAGCATGCCAAGAAATTTGTCAAAATTACACGCCCCTACAATATCCATTATAACGAGGTGTTCCTATATTATATAATTATATGATATGTCGATTGCGCGTGACGAGTACCCGCGAAGATGTATTTATATAATTTACGGAGTGCAGTGATTGAATATTGTTTTTGTTTTTTGGCCGAGAAAAGATGTAATCTGTAATAGGTAGGCATAATTACACAATGTATATACGATATACGTACCAATTATTCAAGTAATGGGGTATTACGGTAGCATAAAATATATTATATATCTTATAGATATATAATTATATAAGACCTATTATCTACCGTGGTAATCGATGRTTGGCTCAAGTTYCGCGACTTCCGAGGTCGGCACTCCGATTCAATATTGTTATTAATTATATGTTGCACGAGTGTAAACCTGGACGATGTACGATGCATACATATTATCTATAATATGTCATAAGATTATAATAAATAATAATAGTATTTTTTATATAAATTATAATATTATTACATAGTACATACGATGCGCTTCCACTCCATTTCGTTTTGCTGTTTTACCACGATCAGAACGTAAACGTTCTGACGTTCATATTACCTATATGATTTTAAAAATAAAGATATTTTAATAATAAATAATATAAGCACCTATAACATAATTTGACGACCTGAGAACAATCGTCTGATACTAATGACGCTAACTGCTACAAGTCGAGAAAATCTACGAAAAAACGAAATTATTTCTTACTTTAAGATTCATCCAGCAGCAATTCATTATTTTTACGATACAAACATAATATATAATATGAATACGAATAATGCGAGCAGCGACAACTACAAACACCAGATCTAGTCGATTTGACCTTATTACGCTGTTCAGGTATGTTATATATACCTATATATATATAATATATAATTATGTCTTATATTGCATTATATGGTACACATTATTTGTCGTCCATTATCCGCGCACTATACCAGTACTTATACCGCCAGCTTAGCACAGCCGGTATTTTTCGTTCTGCGTCACTCCCTCCGAGAGACGATAGTTTTCGAAAGCGGGGTGGGGAATGGTAGTGTTCACTCTATCCGACGCAACACCGCTGACGCGGTTGTCGAATCGCTGTGCGTCCTCGGGGCATTCCTGGTCGAGATATTTATTAATTTAATTTGTTTACGTATACCTATATAATATACATTATAAGTATTAGTGTAGAACTTGATGTGTTATATTATACAGGGTGATTCACTAAATTATGTTCACCACCCTTCAATAATATTAATTTCTAAAGATTTTGATTTTYGGAAATTTTAGCTGTCTATAACTACCTCAATACTTTTTTTTAAAATTATTTAGCTTTTTTTATGAAATTTAAAGAGTGCCTTACAAATATGATGGGCGATACAAACTTATTATTTTTCAAATGAAAACCGCCCTTTATTTAATTGCAAATTGTTAAGGGTATAATGTTTTTATACCAATAAATCGAAATTCAAATAAATAATTTCTTAGATTGTTAAACTTTGAGCAAATAGTGAAATAAGTTTACAGCCTATRGTGAKGATTCGAAAATTATAATTTGTCAAAAGTGTTAGAGCATAATAAGTATTATATTTTAGTAATATTACACACATTTTAAAATATATGTAAAATAATTATTAGGGACTATGAGTCCCTATGAAATATAAGTTTAATAACTCAAAAACTTCATTTTTGAATATCTATTTAAATGCATTGACATTTACGAAATAAATCAACTGATCAACAAAACACTATGTGGTTCTCTTYTGAACAAAAAAGCTTATTTTACTAATTCTATTGTATACAAATATTCAGTATTTGAAAATACGATCCTCGAGTAGGTATAATCAAGACTTCCGAAAACATGAATTTGAATATATTCATATATAAAAGGATGGGGGGGGGGTGAGCGTGCTCGGTGAATCACTCTGTATACATAATATAATATAATATAAAATTCGAGACAAATCGTGAACGTGCGGTACCTACGTAGGAATTTTATATCGAATCGATTAAGTTACCTGTACGTACTTATGGATAACATTTACCTACCACGGTGTGGTGTGCATGGTAGAGGGAGCGAAGAGAAGAAAGAGAGTAAGTAAGAGAGTGCACAAGAAAGATAGAATGAGAGAGAGAGAAAGAGAAAGAAGGAGAGAGAGAGCTACTACTGACTATAGATAGTACAYACTTATGCACTAGACGTGTGCATAGTACGTATAGGTTTAAGACATACGAKTATGCAGGCTGGTAAGTAGGTGCYCGTCGAGTTCTCGGAACAAGGAGAGCACAATAAAATTCAAAAGATTATAGGCGATTAAAATACGTACTTTCACAAACGAAGCAGCTAATTATCACGTCTATCTCGCTATTGCGCAATGCACTTTTCATTTATGCAGCTCACGAACGCAACAGTACATTTTTAGATTTATCGCTGTTATAAACTATTTACATTATTATTGTGAGACACCTATACGTAACTCTTTGTCTCTCTGTCGTCCGAAAAGCAGATGTGCAGCTGAGCACGCTGATTAATTGAGTTAGGTATCAGTCGATTCATGAACGTCGTAGAACTTTTTCAGTAAAACAAAGTCCGCGGATACTCGTCATCTTAGAAGTCGTTTTTAATTTTAAAAACAAACGATATTTCTTATTAAATTATTACATTTCAAGTTATTATCGTAYTATTAATATTGCGCCTGATGGTGTGGTGTAAAATGAGTACGTTGTCGTAATGCCAGAATAGCCTAAATTAGTTTGGAAAGCTCCAGGAGAAAGCTCATCTTCCAAAAATCTCTCGAAACCCTAGCGAAATTCTTTTTTACGTTTTTATTAGTACCTTTAAAAGGCATACCCACGTGATGTGTTGTAGTTAAAAGTGTACAATATACCTAAGAAATTTAAGTTACAGGGGGACTGAAAGGGTTAAGTAAAACTAATTTTATGTATTATTGTTTTTCAATTTTAATATTGATATTAATTGATCAATCATCAATTTACTATCAATCTATATAAGGGTTGCCAACTTTTAATTTGGAAAATATCGGCCCAAGTGTACCAAAAAAAAAAAGGTTATAATTTCAATAAATGTAAATTTTTATTTAATATAAGTATAATTAATAAATTGATTTTCTATCGACAATCACATTTTCACATATGATAACGGCATAGTAGGTACAAGGTAAATACTAATCATACTACTTATAAAAGTGTCAAAGTTGACGATAGGCATCTAAAGCCATTAAGATTATATAGGTACGATTTATTGACAACAATATGATAACCAATTTTACAAAAGCGATATAATATTTATATATTTATATCGCAACTCTCGATCAGATGGAAAATGGAAATACTGGCTTTTTATATAATTTTACAACTATTATTTTGAAAATACCRGCTTTTTATTGGTGAATACCGGCAACCGGCTTTTTAAGTCTATGGATGTGAAATACCGRCCGGTATGCAATCCTATCTATATGTTTAGTATAGAATTATTAACTTGGGGATTTCGTAAACTTTTATTGATAATTATATTTTTTTTTAAATTATAAGCATTTTAAAATTGTAATATTTGCATTGTTATAATTCACTTTAGTT